TTGCCCAGGTTGGACCTGAACTTGAAATCCTCCTGCCTCAGCCTCGTAGAATTCTGGGATGACAGGCATGCACCATCACGTGTGGCTGTCACTTTATTTTATTTTTAGCCCAAAGTACATTACCTATGAAGATGTGTTTGAATTTCTAGTGTCTTTGTCACACACTTAGAGATAAGTTGGCTGATAGTCATGCACCATGAGTGAGGGGTAGGTTCTTAAATCTTGCTTGAAGAACTGATCTGAAGTCTTGCAGCTTCGGTTCCTTGCTGCCTCGCTCACAGCGCCCATCTGTGTTCTGCAGGCTCCCAGCACAGCTGCCCACGGGCCCACTCCTGGGGTGAGGTGGGCTGGGGTCGGGGAGATCCCGTCTGCCCGGTTATGGCCGCCTGTGCAGACCAGACGGGACCTTCTGCAGGGAGCAGCACGCTGGAGAAGGCTCTGAGCGAAGAGCAAACGAAAGAGCGGAAGCTGAGGAGGCGGAGTAACCAACGGGAAGCTCAGTTTGCTTGGGATTTCCTTCTGTCCTTTGACACTGTCATCGCGTGTTGATCTTTTATTTCCTGTTTCACTGCCAAATTGCTTCTCTGTTAGTATTTGGGATATACTGTGAACATGACTGACAGACATTGAAAAACAAGGGGGAAACTACGTTTGTTATTTCTCTTACTCACTTGCCATATTTTGAGAAAGGACATCAGGAAAGCTGTTTTCTCTGAACAGTCACTTTCCCTTCTAGGCATTCATAATTACTTTCGCCGTGGACTGATTATGCCATTGATTTTACAGTCAGAAGTAGAAACCATTCTTGGCTTAACATTTTTTACCCCCTGGGACTAATACAGCTTTTACACGGGGGAATACCACACAGGGCCGGGGATTTAGCACAGTGGTTCCGCTGCCTGCCTTGCAAGTGCAAGGTTCTGAGTTCTATCCCTGGTACCAAAAAAAACCAAACAAACCCCAAAACAAACCACATTGACTACAAAGCTGAATATATTTTACCCATGCAGGAACACAGCTAAATTAAAGGCTCACTGAAGGTCAGGATGATAAGAGGAAAAGGCGGGGCACTACAGCCTACCCTCACGGCAGCCTCTATTCATTATTCTGTACCCAGGCCTTTTCCTTGTCGTCTCTGAGATTTGCCTGAGCTCCAAGCCTTTCCTTGGGCTTTATTTTCTGAATCTCTTCTAGTTGAGACACATTTTGACAGGTCCTAAAAAGGCCATTGGTTTTGAGCTTCCTGAGGGTCGCGGACGTGTTAAGGCTCTGGTTCTGGTGGGAATTAGGACCGTGAAGAATTCAGACACAAAGACAGGGCTGGGGGACAGTGCTGACGTGAGACTTGGGGATGACGAAGGTACTGTGGTTTGGCCATAGTATGAGTGTCCCCCAAGGGTCCTTTGTGATCACAGGGTGGCACTGTCAGGGGGTGGTAGAACCTTTGGGAGGTCTTTAGGTCACTGGTGGCCTGCCCTTTGTTACAGTTGTATCTAGATGTCTCCCAAAGCCTCATGGGCTCATGGTGGGGCTTGTGGAAGGAAGGTGACTGGATTGTAGGGGCAGGTAGCTGACTTCCTGTGGGAAGGTGGGGCCTGGTGGGACAGTCGAGTCTCTGTGGGCGTGACCTGGAATACAGTACCATATCTTCCTTCCTGGCTCCTCCCTTGACCCTCTGCTTCCTGTCCCCCATGACTTGAGCAGCTCTCCTCCACCATACCCCTCTGCTGTGCTGTCCTGTCTTGGAGCTCACAGACCATGAGCCAAGGCAAACCTCTCTTCCTATATGTTGTGAGTCTAGGATGTTGTGTTCCAGGGAGGAGGAAAGTAACTAAGATACCCTTGCAAGGGATTGTGGGATCCCAGATTCTCTCTCTGACTTCCTGTTTGGCCACACCATGACATCCTGCCACTGGCTGCCTTCACTAGAGACTAAACAGAAGGGGCCAGTGGGTTGTGGACTCAGACCCTCCAAAACTGTGAGCTAAATAACCTTTCCTCTTTATAAATTAGCTGCTTCTGGTATTTCATTGTGGTAATGAAAAGCTGACTAATCCAGAGGGTTGGCAATATTGGTGGTGAACATTACTTGATAATAAAGAAGAGTGAAAAAACCTCTGTTAAGCTGTTTGGACATAGCCATATTAAAATTACTTCTTTGGTTTGGTACTCAATAAATATTTAGTGCATTTTTTTTTTTGACTAGCGACATGTTTTTAACCTTCTCCTTTTCTATACTTTTGAGTAGCACTGCAAATTTTAGTAAAGGAGTCATATTTCTGAAGGAAAATGAGGTCAAATAGAGATTTGGCAAACAAAGTCTTTTCAAAATGTTCATGCAGTTCTCTACTGTATAGTTACCTTTTTGGTTATCTTCCCTGTGAATTCAGACAGGTTGCTTTAATTCCACTTAGACCTCAGTTCCTCCTTTTCAAAATTAGGAATTGTATTTGTTAGTCTTTCAGGTCCCTTTTAGCTCTAAAACATTTTCCTTTTACAATATCATCCACTGATTAAATTAGTGTTTTGATAAATAAAATTTTTCTTTTGTAAAAAAATGTATTTAAACTGGGTGCGGTGGTGCATGTCTGCAATCCCAGTACTCTGGGGAGGCTGAGGCAGGCAGATAGCTAGTTTGATCCTAGCCTGGCAATTTAGTAAGATCCTCTCTCAAAATTAAAAAAAAAAGGGGTGGGGTGGGGTGGGGTGGGTGGGCTGAGGAAGTAGCTCACTGTGAAGGCCCTGGGTTCAGTCCTCAGGGCTGAAGAAAAAAATTATCAGTTTTAGCATATAGGCTTGCTATGTTTTCACTGTAGTGTGTACATCATGTAGACCTTTAGGAATATAATCTTAGATTTCAGCATAGTAAACACTGGTTCACAAAAGTTAAACCACTCAGAAGTTTATGAGACCTTTTGGACCTTTTTTTCTGTTTCCTCCAAATTTGCTTTATGTAATTAGGTAGCTATAAATTAATGAACAGAAATTTAGGCAAGATTCATGTAACAATTTAACAGAAGCTAATAATCCAATTTCTTTCCATTTTTTCCAAATTTATCCTTGAGTTACTCCATCATGGGACTGATAAGGAAATCAACTAACATGGGTTATACATACATATGAATGTCAAATAAGTACTTATGACATACTAAATTCTCCTATAATGCAATTATGAAGAGCCTTCCAGAAACTTGCCTTGAATATATAGAAGTGTTAAAGTCAGATATTCAACTCAACATAAAATAATAAGAAACGAGGGCTGGGGATTTAGCTCAGTGGTGCTGTGGCTGCCTTGCAAGCACAAGGTCCTGAGTTTGATCCCGGGCACCCACCCCCAAAAAGAAAGAAATGTTTGTTAGGTGGAGACTACTTCTCTTTTTGCTAATGAAACATTTTTAGCTGTAATATCACTGAGCTGAAGAAATAAGTCACCATTGAGTACCTAAGGAAAAATTAATACATGGCCAAGTGGATAAAACATCACTACCAGATTTTTATGAGACCACCTCCACCTCTAACACTTCAGAAGCTTAGAGATTCAGAATACTCTTACATTAACTGCAAGAAAAATCAAGTGAAATTCCTTTTTTGAGATCACAACTATGAAGTAATGTGGTTATACAAATTTTGCATTTGTGTGCAAAACATGAAACACATTTATCTTCATTTCCTACTTAGTCTTATGTAGTTTAGGCTGGCTTTGAACTCTCTATGTAGCCCAGGTTGGCCTGGAATTCACAGTGATCCTCCTGCCTCAGCCTCTCGAGTGCTGGGATCACAGGTGTGCGCCACCATGCCTGGCGAGACTGGACTTTGACAAGTCCTGGCTTTGGGACTTCAGAAGAATTACCTTATGTTGCTGAGGCTCAGTTTCCTCTCTGTGACATGGGAATAGCGATGTATTTTGTAAAGTTACTGTGAGGATGTAAATTGCTTAACACAGAACCTGTCTTATATGAAACGTTCAGTGCCTATTACCTAATATCACTATAGGAAAATATGCCTCAGATTCTATCCAACCAACAGCATACACTTCGTTATTGGTGCCCATTTTGCATTAATTTTACAGTGTGTTGGATTCCATCATGGCACATTTATACATGCCTGCCACGTATCTACATGGTTCCCACCCACTCTGTTACCCTCCCTGTGCCCTCCTTCCGCTCTCCTTATTCTCTTCCTCTTGTGTAATAGTAGCCTCTTTTCTACATTCATGCCATCTTTTCTTTTCTTTCCTTCTTTTGGTGTTTTTAGATTCCACATACTAGAGAAAACACGGTACTTGTCTTTCTGCACCTGGCTTATTTCACTTAACATGATCTCCAGTTCCATCTGTTTTCCTGCAAAAGACAAAGTTTCCTTCTTTTTTTTTTTTGGTACCGGGGATTGAACTCAGGTCCTTGAGCTTGTGTAGCAGGCGGTGAAACCACTGAGCTAAATCCCTGGCCCCCAAGTTTCCTTCTTCTTTATGGTCGAGCAGTACTCCATGGTGTATAGAGGCACATTTTCTTTATCCAGTCCTCTGTTGGGCACCATGGTGAGCTCCATATCTTGGCGAGTGTGAATTGTGCCACAGTAACCCAGCCATGCGGGTGAGCCTGTAGTGTGCTCCCTTCTACCCTTTGGGTGTACACCGAGGAGTGGAAGCTGGATCATTTGGCCATTTTGGTTTTAGTTTCTGAGAAACCTCCACATTGATTTCCATAGTGGCCCAACTAATTTCCATTTGCACCAGCTGTGTAGAAGGGTTCCTTTATCCTTACCAGCATTTATTGTTTTTTGTATTCTTGATGGAGTGAGATGGACTCTCAGTGTAAGTTTGGATTTGCATTTCCTACAAGCACATTTATGATTTGCATTTCCACACAAACACAGTTTGTGATGTGTACTTTTGTGCCACAAACCGAGGAGTCTTTCACTTAATAACTTTTTTTGAATAAATTAACGATCAGATGTTTTCCTAATGGAAACTGACCTAAAATACTTCTTTATTTTTGCAGATCTTGTATTGCACTTTAAACACACCTAAAATTGACATGCAGAGACTCCTAGGAGGGCAGCTAGGTCTTGAAGATTTCATATTTGCCCATGTGAAAGGACTAAAAAAAGAAGTGAATGTGTATAAATCCGAGGATTCACTTGGACTCACCATTACAGATAACGGTGTTGGCTGTGCTTTTATCAAGGTAAGTTCAAAACAAAACAAAACCAAACAAAACAAACAAAAGAGACAGGTTAGCCTAAATGAGGATGACCCTTGAGAAAAGATACAGGGTCAAAGAGAGCTCAGGGAAGCATGAATTGCTCATGTTTCACTTTCATTTAAAAAATATTCAAAGACATCATCTCTTGTTTACCCTTTTTTTTTGGTACTGGTGATCGAACTCGGGGATTGAACTCGGGTCCCTGCGCTTGTGCAGCAGGTGGCAAAACCACTGAGCCAAATCCCTGGCCCCTCCTGTTTACTCTTTTGTTGAATTTCTTTGCTTCGGTTTAAACTTCCTCTAGAATGTTGAACTTACTGAGAAGGAAAGACTCCCAGCCCTACCCGTTTTCCAGGTCTGTGATGAGTATCTGCCGACTCCCCGCTGAGCTTTGGGGCCCTGGCTTTACTTCCAGCCAGAGATCTCTGGCTTCCTTCTTTACCTCTTGAAAAGTGCTCTTCAGCATGGCCTGAGCTGGATAATTTCTGTAGCTAGTTACCAAGAGTAACGGATTGTTGCACAGGCAAGAGAAAGAAGTTGGGAGTGGTATGAAGGAGCAGGAAAAAAAAAAAGACTTTCCTTAGAAATAGTTCGGTTGTAATGAGTACAGTTGGCCTCGGTGGCTGCAGCCCCCTGGATGCTGTAGTCTTGCATATAAATGGCATGGTGTTTTGCATGTGACCTATATGGCCCCTCCTGTGTACTTTATTTCCTCTCTAGACTGCCTACAATACCTAACAAAATGTAAAGTTCTGTCAGTAGTTGTTGCACTGTATTTTGGGGGGAGTGATGATAAAAAGAAATTTGTACATGTTCAGTACAGATGCAGTTTTTTTCCTTTTTAAAAAATTGTGTTTTTGAGACAGAGTCTTGCTATGTAGCCCAGTCTGGCCTTGAATTCATGGTGATCCTCCAGCCTCAGCCTCCTGTGTGCTGGGATTACAGGCCCGAGCCACCACACCGGCTTGAGGCATGGCGAATTTTTAGTGTACAGTTTCGTGAATGTTTATACACCAGCATGCGTCTGCCACCTAGATGGATGGAAATTGGACTAGTGCCAACTGGAAGTCTCCCTTGAGCCCTTTCCCGGTCAATATTCTTCCACCCGAAAAGTAGCCACCTTTTGACCTCTTCACTGTTAGCTCACTCTCGAAGTTCTCATAATCGTACCTCATGTTCTCTTCCATTCTGCTCAACATGATGTCTGTGAGATTTGCCCACAGCAGGCAATCTAAGCAACCTGTCTTACAGTTGTAAAAACAGGATCAGGAAGCTTAAGCTTGTCCCAGGTTCTACTGCTGGGCAAGCCCAGGATTTGAACCCAGGAACTCTGGCTCCAGAGCCAGCTGCTCACATGCCCTGAGCTCAGCTGGTGATAGTGTCATGTAACACAGTATGTTGATTGCCTTTATTTTATCCAAACCCTGATTACTAGCTCATCATCATTTGTGAAGTTCTCCTCTTAGCTGGAAACGGTACTTCAACTCCCCATTCCACAGAATGGCTATTTTTAGCTGTGTAAGAGATAGGGCTGTGCGAAGGCTGAGTGGGTGACCAAATGGAAAATTCGAGCGCTGGAAACGTCATGTGTGGTTGTCCAAGGGAAGCTCAGGACCTGAGGCGCAGGAGCAGTGCCTCTGTCCACAGAGACAGGCTTGGGAGTTTTGCAGACATGCGGAGCTTTTAGATGTTAGCCTCAGATGTTCTGAGCTTGGGTTTCTATTTTTTTTTTAAATGCCTTGTCATACTGGCCCAGAGTACTAGTCACCAGTCCTGTGGCCACAGAGGACCTGGTAACAAAGAAGAAAGTGGGCCAGGTGTGGTAGCCACATGTCTGTGATCCTAGCACTCTGGGAGGCTGAAGCAGGAGGATCCCAAGTTTGAACTCAGATGGGGCAATTAAGTGACTTAGTGAGTCCCTGTCTTAAAATAAAAAATAAAAGAAGGGCATGAGGGCATGCAAAGGCCCTGGGTTCAATCTCCAGTAAAACACACACACACACACACACACAAACACACAAACACACAAACACAGAATGGAGCATAATCCAGCTGACATACGGTTCACTTTAAAAGAGAGATTCATATCATATGTATATATGGTTGATAAAATGTTTTAAAAATTGGGAGAATAATTTCAAACAAATAGAAAAATTATACTGATAATATAGAACTCTTGTAAACCAGGGGTGGCGTTGCACACCTGTAATCCCAGCACTCAGGAGGCTGAGGCAAGAGGATCGCTGTGAGTTTGAGAAATATGTTCTCATATATTTCTAACATTTTGCTTATTCAGTTGTCCGCACTGAGACTCAGCAGGGCTGGAAATGCAGGATGTTGAAGGGGCACAGGATTTTAGGGTAGAGATGAGGATATATAAGCAGAGGCCTGCAAAGCCAGAACAGAAGGAATGGTTTCAGACACAGGTAATGTATCCGATCTAAAGGCTGCGATATCAAGGAACAGTTTCAGTAGAAGTAAGGAAATGGAAAGTTGGAAGGTAGAAGTTGTCAAAAAAAGAAATTTCAAAGCTGGGCATAGGGGTGCACACCTGTAATTCCAGCACCTGAGGGGGCTGAGGCAGGAGGATCACCATGACTTGGAGTCCAGCCTGGGCTACATAGTGAGACCCTGTCTGAAAAAATAAAATGAAACCAAAAAAGTTTTCAAAGTTCAGCTGGGTGTGATGGTGCATGTCTGTCATGCCAGCACTCTGGGAGGCTGAAGCAGGAGGATCACAAGTAGATGCCCAACCTGGGCAACCTAGCCGCTAAAAAATACAAAAAAGATCAGGGATGTAGCTTAGCTTGACGGCCCTGGGTCCCATCTTTGGGACTGCAAAAAGGAAATTTGAGAGTTCACAGGTGATTGGTCATTTTGGGTGGATATAATGCAGAACTGCACTTGGGACCAGAGACCTTGGGCTCTATGTCTGCTTTTATTTTTTCAGTACTAGGGATTGAACCCAGGGTCTTCACACTGAGCTACATCCCTATCCCTTTTAAACATTTTTAAAATTTTGAGACAAGACTTTACTAAGTTGTGGAGGCGGGGCTCAAATTTAATGATCCTCCTGCCTCAGCCTCCCTGAGTGCTGTTTACTGACAGGTATTACTCTTTTCTTAATTTTTAAAATTTATAATTATATTACCTCTGAGACCCAAATCTGTTGTTTATTAGCCGTGCTATCTTGGCCAAGCTGTATGATCTTTGTATCTTGGTTTTGTCACCCAAATGGGAACAGCGAATATTGTTCTCACTGACTTATTGTGAGGACTACCTGAGGGTTGTAGAAATATGAGTTTATTATGATGAGTGTCATTTGAGAACAGTGTTGGAAAGCTCAGCAGTGCAGATCTCAAAGTTGTTGAACATGATGGCAGGACACGCAGCTGTAACACTGCCAGGTGTGTGTGCGAGACTATTATAGGTGGCACCCACCTATAATCCCAGCACTCGGGAGGCTGAGCCAGGAGGATCACTTTGAGTTTCAGGCCAGTCTGGGCTACATAGTGAGTTTTAAAACCAGACTGAACTACACAGCAAGACTCTGTCTCAAAAACAAACAAATCGCAAAACAAAACAAAAAAACAACCTTGAGTCTGCTGCTTAAGATGTAGGATGGGTGGCATGCCACCCTACAGCGTCCCAGATGTCTGTGATGAGAAGGGAGAGTTCTTCGTACAGGGTGAATGAAGTGGAAGGCGCTATGATTGCGAGCCCTGTGTTTAACAATGTAAACCCTGCCTTCCAAAAAAAAAAAAAAAAAAGTCTTTGCCTTGGTAGCATTAGTCTCCAAGCCCAAGAAAGTTCCTAAGGGTGAAGGAGAACAGTATCATGCCTCTCTTTTATTTCCCCCTCTTGGTTATCTGCACCTGAGTAGCACTTTTACCAATTTCAGGAACTGATGCCCAGCTACTGCATGATGGTCAGTGTGTACTAGATTTCAGGATCTATTACACTGCTGCCTCATCCTTTATTCTACCCATGTAGGGGGCCAAGGGTCCAGGTACTCAAATAATCAGTGGCTTCTATAATCACTAATAATCAGCTTGGCTTTCATATCTGGTCCATCTTCTGCTACTCTTCTCCAAGTGTCTCATGTTTGTTGTCCTTTCTGGTTATCCCAGATCCTTCTCTGCTGCCTCTGACACCTGCACTTCCTTCAGGTTGCTCCCGGTCGCCTGGATTCTTTGCTGCTGCTCTGCCTTCTTCCTCTATCCGGGTACTGATAGCTCCTCCTCCTTCCAGGTACTCATCCTTCCTCCTCCATCTGGGCCACTCTGGTGTTGGCCTTTCCAGCTATGTGCATGTGTACATTCGACAAGACTGCTGATCCTCTGACCTTCCATTCACTGATTAGAGTCATAGGTAGCTTTTAATATTTTAAATAAAATTATAGCACCAAATCTTAAAAACTAAAAGGAACATGTAGTAGGACACTGGGATTTGTATATTTGAGCAAAGGAAAACATAGTTTCAAGATAAATTAGCACAAAGATGTAAAAAGTCAGTTAAATATAGACCTTCAAATTTTTTAGCAGCTTAAACACAGTTATATAACAGAATAATTAATAGGTATTTTTGGTTAGACTCTAATCTTTTTAAAATCTTGTTTATTTTTATGTGGCCACTTAGAAACTAGTTTTGTTGCGTGGTATGTTGTGGTTACCATTGTTTCTGTTAGCTGTGTGTGCGAAGCTAACATGTATTTCTAATGAAACAATGCCAGTCAGATTATGGAACTTCTGGTTTCTTTGTTTCATAGTTAACTACTTATAATATTAGGGAGCTGTTTAAATTGGTACTGTATTATTTACTTATAGCCTGCTAGTAGTTGCTATAACAGCATGGCAATTTTTTGTTTTGTTTTGTTTTTTTGGTGTTAAGATCTTGCTATTCCAGGCTGGCTTGAATCTGCAGCAACCTTCTTGCCCCAGCCTCCTGAGTGCTGGGATTACAGGCATGCACCACCACACCTGGCTAGTATTCTTTAAAATTGAGAATTAAAAAAAAATCTATTTTGAGTTTTGGTATATAAGAATACAATTTAGGGCCGGGGGTAGAGCACTTGCCTGGCATGCATGAGTCCCTATCATTGAAAAAAAGAAAAAAATATATATATTTAAAAAATTTAAAAAGTAAAAATCCCCAATCTTCTCAGATTCATCTTTTACAGCTTTTATGCTGGGGTAATGAGCTCAGTTTCTCCCAACTCTGAGACACAATGATCCATGGATTACTCTGTGGATTACTTAGTGGATTATGGGTGAGGGTGGTGTATGTGTGCTTAGGGCACCACAGCGGCAGCCTCTAATAGGTCTGTGCTTCATCCCCATGAAAAGCTCGTCCTCCTGAGGCCCCTGGCCTTCATTCCCTTCCTCAGCACCGTGGAAGAACTTGTCCACTTGCAGGGCTGTTACAATTGGGGCTGCTGTCCCTAAAACCCTTTCATCTTAGAGATTTTAGACCTCATTTGAGGCTCAGCACAACAGATGCACTGTAGAGAAGTAAGAGTGAAGAAAGACCAGCTTCAAGTTTCTTACATTCTCCTCATCTAAAATATATTATGAAAAACTATCATATAAAATCACCCTTACTCCCAAAATGTTAGACATACTGTCTGTTATTTGTTATCAGTCTTAGGAAAGATCATACCCTTTTGGGGAGGCTGAAGAGAAGCTTGTAGTAATTTCGAGGCCAGCCTGGACAACTTAGTGAAACCTTGTCCTGAAACCAAAAGGGTGGGCTGGGGATGCAGCTCAGCGTTAGAGCATTTACCTAGCATGCACGAGGCCCTGGGTTCAATCCTCTAGCACTAATTAAAACAAAACCATACCATTCTTTGCGTCTTTGCAGGTGTGTAACTAAGGTTTAAAAAGTGTCGTCTGTGGAAAAAGCTCCAGCGTAGATGCATGATGTTTCCCTAGTGTGCCTCATGTTGAAGTGACCCAGCAAGCGTTTATAGTGGGTTTTCCATGCAGGCTGCTTGCTAGGCACAGGACTCACAATGGTGAAGAAGGCCATCACTTTCCCAAGGGCATTACCGTTTAGAAATGGAGAGTGGGAGGGAAATGAACATTGCACTGTGGGGTGCTGAATCGGGGAAACCACTTGATTTTCCCAAGCTTCCATCTTTCTGACCAGTGATGCTTTATGGAAGTGGGTAGGGTAAAGTGCATAACAAATGTGAAGTGTTTGGCTTGGAGGTCAGTACAGCATAAATAGGACAAAGTACAGTACAGGATGAGAGTGGCATCTTACCCAGTCTTGGGGATGTAAGTTGGGGAGGTCAGGAAAAGCTTCTCAAGGAAGAGGTGACCATGAGGTATCAGAGTTCTGAATGATAAGGAAGATGAATGCTTGGAGTAAGATGGCTGTTCTTTGTTGCTTGTCTTTTATTATTATTATTATTATTTTGGTACTGGGATTGAATTCAGGGCTTTGTGCATACTGGGCAAGCACTCTATCATTGTACTACAGCCCAGTCCTTTTTTATTTTATTTTGAGATAGGGTCTTGCTAAGTTGCCCAGGCAGCCCTTGAAATTATGATCCTCCTGCTTCAGTCTCCTGAGCAGCTGGGATTACCGGTGCATGCTGCCACACCCTGCTTTGACCTAATATTAAAGTGCATCGTTAATATGTCAATATGTTGTATGTTATAGCTCAAGAACACGAAAGGTAATGTTACATAGCTCTGTTTTTGTATTATCATTAATTTTCTTTCTTTCTTCCAGAGAATTAAAAGTGGTAGCATTATTGACTCAGTTAAGACAATCTGTGTGGGAGATCATATTGAATCCATAAACGGAGAAAATATAGTTGGACGCCGTCACTATGAGGTTGCTAAGAAGTTAAAGGAATTAAAAAAGGAGGAACTCTTTACTCTGAAGTTAATAGAACCTAAGAAGGCATTTGGTAAGTTGTGTGTGTGTGTGTGTGTGTGTGTGTGTGTGTAGGGAAATGAATACTGTCATGTGTTACTGTGTGTTTTTAATATATCAATCTGTCATCTTTTTTTTTTTTTGGTACTGGGGATAGAACTCGGGACCTTGCAGCTGCAAGGTGGGTGCGGTGCCACTGAGCTAAATCTGCAGCCCCCCAATTTGTTATCTTATCTAACATATCAGTTAAGAACATAGAAAATGAGAGCGTAAGGAAAACATCTATTAAAGGAAGAAAAAAGAGAACAGATTGCCTTGTGGAGCAATGCTGCCTAAAGAGCTGTAGACTCCTAAAGCCAGATGTCTGGTGACTGCATCTGGTGCCTGGCCCAGTCTCGGAGGACAGCACGCTGCACTGTTTTCATTTTGCTGAGCAGCGAGAGTTTGGATCTCATTCTGTGAGCCATAATTGTTGTTCATGAACCTCTGCAGCAAAAATTTTAATTGTACACAGAACTGGTATTTGAAATGATTACCTAGAATGCTTTAAAGGCCTCTGTCACCCACCCTGTCCCTCCTCTGACATTTTGCATGGGTACTAAGTGACTCCTCTTGAAGTGACACCTGCATTTGCCACTCCTAACCGTGGGAGCTGTATTCCAACTGTTGTTTGAACCTCCAGGGCCCTCTCATCGATGTGAGAATGTGCCAGCCTCTCTCTCCCCAGCACTATTTTAATAAACTGGATGAAGCCTTGTGTTCATCAGAGTTAAAACGTCGTCAGCAGAATCACGCCAGGCTTGTCTGGTGACCAACCTACCCGCTCTATTTTCCCCCCTTTGCTCCCAGAACACAAGTGCTCTTTCTCGTTCAGCTCTACAGCTCTTTTCTCCAGGCACCGGATGAAATGGTGGGAGAAGGCAGTGGGCTGGGGAGTGACATTTTCTCAGCCAGTGGGTGACATATCTCAGCTACTTCTGTGGAATTAGGAGTTTTTCTCTGCTCTCATGGGATTTTGGGGTCATTTAATCGGAATGCAGTGTGGTTGCATTGTTTGTGGGAGGCAGAGTTCCACAGGAGGTGTAAGAAAAGGATGCCTTAAGCTAGGCATAGAGGCACGTGGCTGTCAGCCCAGCACTCTGTGGGGCTGAGGCAGGAGAATCTCAAATTCAAGTCCTGCCTGGACAACTTAACCAGGTCCTCTTTCAAAATAAAAAAGGGCTGGGGATCTAGCTCCATGTGAAGGCCCTGGGTTCAATCCCTAGTACCAGTGGGGGAAAAAAGGAAAGCAAAGGATGCCTATGGCAGTGCAGCCTCAGCAGAGACGCTGTCAGAACCGCCCTTGCATCAATGCACTCCCTGCTCACCGAGGACAGCCAGCGGCCTGCAGGCTCCTCTCCAGCAGCTCCCGGGCTCAGTACGGGGATTGAACCCAGGGCCTTCACACTGAGCTACATCCCCAACCTATTTTACTTTTTCAAAGAAAGAGCCTCACCAAGTTGCCCAGGTGTGAGTTGAACTTGTGGTTCCCTTGCCCCAGCCTCCCAGAGTGCTGGGATTACTGTGTAGGCATGCACCACCATGACCTTTTGAAATGGCTTTGTTTGATTGTCCAGCTCCCCAGATAGCACAGTGTATAAACTGATAAATGGTCTAATTTGATTTAGAGTCTTGGTAAATCAAAGCTATTTTCTTAGTTCAACTCCAGAAATATGGTATCTTCCTACATTTATCTCTAATATGTAATCTACTTTCCAGAGTTATCTTTTTCTATTTTTTCCTGTTGTAGGCATGTAAATCTATTTTTTTTTTTTTTTTTGGTACCTGTAAAAAGTCTCTGCATAAAGTTGCTGTTTCACCTTAACCTAGGTACCAAGTTGCTGATAGTCTGGAATATTACAGAGGCTTTGTATTTAGCTATTATTGTTCCATGATTAGATTGTTCCCTTCAATGTCAGAGACATATGCAGAAGTTTACATGCTTATGCACCTCACTGCTATTGAACCTGCTCTCTGTTGCCTCATGAGTTTAATGGACACATTTGCAAAGCACCCTGGGTAGGATTTTTCTAGTAGGGTCATGTTATTTCAGAATCTTAAATTCTGTTGGTTCTGTGGATTAGGATACCTGGCCTAAAGGGCTGATCAAAAAATATAGTATGGGGCCAGAGATTTAGCTCAGTGGTGCCACTGCCTGCCTCACAAATGTAAGGTCCCGGGTTCCATCCTTAGTACCAAAAAAAGGAGTATGCATTTAAATGAATTAGTACAGTACAAAACATATTGCTATAAATCCCCCCAAATTCTTGTCCCTTACTTCAGACACACTTATCCCATCCTTCCTGCCACTTTCTGAAGCAGTTCTGGAAGTCCTCTTTCATGAGTGTCTGTGTGAGGTATGACCAAAATACAGTGAGTGCTGGAGCTGGTGCCATCCAAGGGCAAGCCAGACTTGTAAAACATCACGGTGTGTCCTCCTCCACCTTGATCGCTGGATCTGGCACCATAAAACTTCTAGCTCTTCCCCAAGGTCAAAATGACCAGGAAAGGTAAACATTTTGAATCAATTCAGAACATGGAGGCAGCCATGACAGCACAACTAAAGACCCTCAGGAAAGACGACTTCCAGAACTGCTTCAGAAAGTGACAAGAAGGATGGGATAAATGTGTTCAAAGTTCGGGGGCAAGGGCCAGGGAATTAGCTCAGTGGTTCCATCCCCTGCCTCGAAAGCTCAAGGTCTTGAGTTCGATGTCCAGTACCAAAAAAAACCAAAGTGAGGGGGCATTTTCTAAGGGGGAATTAATGATAATATAATAAATTTTACTGTAATAAATTAAACAGTTTTAATATTACCATATTTTTTGACTGCACCGTGTACGTGCACACTCCACTCTGTGGGTTGACTCTGGGATCTGGGCCCAGCCTGGGAATTTCTCTCTCAGAGCTTTGCTGTCCTGCTCATCCTCCAGCTCTAATTCTGCTGCTTTTCTTTTTGCCTCTGGGATAAAGGCAAAGCTGACTTGTTCCTCAGCCTCTGGCTTCATCCCAGTGCTTAGCTCCTTGCTGGGAAGGGAGTATACATCAGGAGGTACTTAGGGAATCAAGCTTCCCCCAATTCTTTTGGTCCTAACCTTGTGCTTTGTTCCCTTCCTTTCTTCCTGTGTTTTCTAGCATTATCACTGACTCAGAGCCAAAAATTCAGATCTCACAGTCCTTCATGACTGTCTGACTGTGTTATCTTGGAGTCCCACGAGGGGGAAGGGCCAGTCTAAATGGGGCAGAATTTTCTCACCATTCACATAGGCCACTTTGGCTGAAGCCAAAGCATTCTTAGGATCTTACCAGTGGCCACACACTCCAGTATTTTGACATTTTTCTGCCACCTTTCCTGAGGATTTAGCCAGGGGAGGCATAACTCAAAATACAACTGTGCATTGCTTTGCAACAGCATAATAAGGATAGTGAGTGAGCCTGACTTCTCTGTGGCCTGGGGGAATTCTTACTGCCTGCCCTCACTGCCACTTCTGCAGTGCACTTCCAGGAGTCAGTGTATATGTGAAGATTCCTAGAGAGCTGCAGAATAAACATTCTCCAAGTTAAGAGAAAGGCATCTGTTGGAAGATCCCAGGTAGGTCTCAAACAGAGAGTCAGTTAACCCTTGGCAAAGCCAGGAACCTGCAGGGATGTGTGTATCAGGAACCTCTAATGGCACCGGCTTGATGGACTCCCAGTTATTTTCTGTCTTCATGCCACTCCACTCAGGATTCCAACTCTGAGGAGAGAGAGGAACTGATTAGGTCATATGCTCATTTGGACATTGAGGAAGGCAGGCCGTATCAGTCAGTGCTTACTAAAGAAACAGATTTAATGCAAGATGTGTAAATGTATTAGGATTTACAAGGTAGGCTTACAATGGCTGCCCACAGAGTCAGGTGTGGAAGGGTGCAAAGGGCTGTCAGTGGCGATCCAAAGGATCCAGTCAAGGGTTGAAGCCCTGGAGCTCCTTGGAGTGTCCTGTGCGAGTCTGAGTCCATAGCAGGAGGCCGAGGGGTCTGCGCTGGAAGCCAGGAGACGCCATCCAAGGTGAAGGTGAAGACTGGAGCTCTTCGAAGACACAGACGCTAGCCTTCCTTGTTCATGCCCCTTTACCCCATTCAGGGTTCAAGCCTGCTGGTCGGTGCCACTCACACCCTGGGTGGGTCTCCTGTCTTCAGTACATCCCTTCAGTCACACCCAGAACTGTGCTGCTCCAGTTTAGTTGGGCGTTTCTTACTCAAATTGACACAATCAGTTAACTGTCACACAGGCTGTATGACTGATAGGCTTACCTCAAATCACACAGACTGATGAGGAGGAAATTTCCTTTCTGGCAGGAAAGGAGCAAATGTCCATCTTACAGTTTCTCCTGAGTTGTAACACCTTGTTCTGTAGGCAGAGCAGTGTCAGTTTTCTCTTGACTTCTTCCTTTCTTCCCGCTTCTCTCCTTCCCTATCTCCCTCCCTTCCTCCCTTCCTTCTTTCCTCCTTTCTTTCCTTGATCTCTTATTAGGACATGTTTGTGGTATGTAATGAATACACTGAACATGGGGAGTTGGTACATGTACATACTACATCTTAGTCCTCTTTTTCTTTCACCTCTCCTCTCTCCCATCTCCCTCCATCCCTAGACCTTCTTCCTATCTGTAAAAACATCTACTTCCCTCTTTCCTATGTTTTCCTCTTGGCTTTGAATCTGGCTTCTGCCATGTTTAAGCCAGGAGTCTAGGAGTATTGGAATAGATTTGGAGGGAGAAGGGTATTGCCAATGGCTTTGGATGTGTCCTTAGGAATTTTATTTTTCTGTTGGTAATTGAGTGCCAAGTCATAGCTGTTTGGCAGTGGACTGGGTAGAGATGATGACAGCATCAAACTTTGTTTCAGGGAAAGAGTAGAGCCATATTTTTCCGGTACTAGCCATTGGATTTGGATATGTAGTACTTCTGGGAAGATCCTTCAATTATGTAACCCTCAAATTATTTATTGAGAATCTCCTCC